TCTCACAGCAGTAATGAAAGCCACTCGTGACTGAAACGGGGGGTAGGGGAGAGCCCAGCTCCTTGTGCTTAAATCCAAACTGTTCAAGCTGAAGCTCTTCTTCCATTACCCCCACCCCCAATCTTTTTATTTTGTCCCACAATTTCACACAGTGGCTACTTAATATTACAGCTACTTAATATACAGCCATGCTTTGAGCAGGGACTGAGTCAGGCTGCAGCCGAGCGCCCAAACGTCTGTCTGACAGGCACAGAAGCCACCACTGGTGGCATCTCCCTTTCTCCCACTTCCCGAGCAACTCTGCTCCTGCCTCTGCACCACACGGGAACGTGCCCAGTGCTGGACCTGGACTGACCCAGGCTCCCACTTCACTCAGCCCCTGGATGCCACTGGAGGGGTGACCCAGCCCCGCAGCACACCGTGCCCGCAGGGGCACAGCCCAAGTGTTCCACTACCCACTCCAGAAAGTGATGGCCCCTTTCTAGGACTGCTAGGGGCTGTGGAGCTCCCCTTCGCCTCCCAGGAACAAGCAGGGCAGAGGCTTCTCGCCCCGAAGAAGGAGACCACAGTTAGCAGGGCACACGCCAGACAGACTTTGTACCCCAACCATTAAGTTTTGACATTTACTTGTAGGAACAGCAGCCGAGGGAGACTGATGCCGCTTTTGATCTGTCCCCTTTGACAAACTCGTGGCCTCCTTCGCACAGCAGCAGGGAGAAGGAAAGGGCAGTAAGGCAGCGAGCAGGGAGGGCGCTGGCCTGGGGCAGACTGGAAAGGCCCGATCTCTGGTGGGTCTATTTTAATTCATTAACGCCCTTGTTTCCGAGGCACAGGATGTGTCTGTTCACCTTTGCCTTCTTTCCATAAATGAGTTTCCAGGGACTCGAAGCTGGCCCTGACATCCTCTGCAGGCTCCCCCGGGAAGCCTGGCAGCCAAGTCGAGCCTCTGCCAATTAGCTCAGCCCAGCACAAACTGCAAAGCTTCACGTATTTTAACTGGGAGCACGCCACCGCCAATGCTAGCTCTGCTTTGCAACAGCTTCGCACGCGCAGAGGTGGATCCTCAGCAAAGCAGGGGGGCTGTATAACCCTTATTTTGCTTAATCAGGTTTGCATAAAAATGCAACTCTCCAGTTGGAACGGTTCTTCGGCCTGCGCAGTAACGCAGCAGCAAGTCACAGCTTAGCTGTGCCCGACCTGGAGGTAACACGAGTTTCCCTTCTGTTGGCCTTGTGTTTCGGAATCCCACCTTCACCACCGGCTACCTAAAGTCGTCGAATTACCACATAAATACTTTCCAAGTGCCTGCACCCCATGTGATAACTGATGGTCACAAATATACCAAAACCCAGGTCATACTATGAATTCCAAATGAAAGATATCAATGATACTCCCACAAAAAAATGGGTTTCACGGGTGTCCAGGTACGTTTGGCCACAGGCTCGATTGCTTTAGACTTCGATGCAGCTGCAAGTAAAACCAACTACATCACCCTTCTTGTTTCTGAAAATGAGATCACCCTGTAGCCAAAAATAAATAAATAAATAAATAAAGAGGCTGAGGAAAAATGAACTTGCATCCCTCACAATCTAGGATTTGACAAGAAAAGCAAAAATAACTGCTACTGACTTTTTGTACGATACCGGCTAGAGCAAGAAACCATCACCCAGGCTCTTGTGTGCTCACACTCTGCACTGTCACATCTGTCTTCTTAAACTCAACAATGGATTTCTTTCATTTACTGGGAAACAAGCTAAGTGAGCTCTCACCGTACGTACAAAACGCAAAAAAAAACCCCAACAACAACAACAACAAAAAAATCACAAACCAAAACCATAAAGAAGGCAAAACCCAACAAAACAGGCACCATGCCAACAAAATGACTTCCACACCCAAGTGCTAACTGTACCTGAACCGTACCTGTACCCTTGCCCCTCAACAGTTCTCATGGTGGTCAACACAGCATGTGCCCCTCTCAGAGCATCCAGCCCACGCGCTCCCAGGCCCCGGGTCTGCCAAACCCTCCTGGTCTCTGCAAAAACATGAAATCATCTCCTGAGGCCTCCCACCCCTTTGCTCCCTTGAGCCAGTGCCCAGACAGCGTTACAGCAGCAGCGACTCTGCAGAAGGACAGCAGGCAGGGTGGCACGGCCGTCGGGAGCTCAGCCTCCCTGGGACCGTGGCTGCTGGTGACTGGCAAGGGAGACAGGGCTTTACGTCCCTCCTTTCATCAAGGTATTTCAGACCTCTGTATAAAACTGGAACCAAAATCCTCAAGAGCACCACATACTATCGTTACCAAAAAAATTTCAAATCCTGTAAAAATGGCACAGTTGTGTTTTGAAAGAGCGGAGGGGCGTCTCACAGAAATACGCTGATCAGGCGTATTAGCACAGAAAAATCCTTACTTTTTACAGGCCTTGCCTGCTCTTTTCCCTTCTGAGACAGCACCGCTCTGATCCTCTCTGCTCACACGGCGGCAGTGCCGGCACACCGCCACGCTGCGGAGGGAGCCCGTGGCCG